ACGTACAACCCGCTTTGGGGCAGGTGAATCAGAATCTTCATTTAGACTGGAGGAGGAATCCGATGAGCTATGAAGCTCTTTTTTTCACAGATATTCAGAACGGGCGGGTCAGCAAGTTACAAAAGCAAACAATACAAAAAAACGATAGTTAATAATACAAAAAAAGACAGTTCATAATACAAAAAACGATAGTTAATAATACAAAAAACGATAGTTAATAATACAAAAAAGATAGTTCAATATACAAAAAAACGATAGTTAATACAAAAAAACGATAGTTAATCATACAAAAAAGACAGTTCATAATACAAAAAAACGATAGTTAATAATACAAAAAACGATAGTTAATAATACAAAAAAACGATAGTTAATAATACAAAAAACGATAGTTAATACTACAAAAAAGATAGTTCAATATACAAAAAAACGATAGTTAATACAAAAAAACAATAGTTAATAATACAAAAAACGATAGTTAATAATACAAAAAAGATAGTTCAATATACAAAAAAAACGATAGTTAATAATACAAAAAAAGATAGTTAATAATACAAAAAAACGATAGTTAATAATACAAAAAAACGATAGTTAATGATACAAAAAAGATAGTTCATAATACTAAAAAACGATAGTTAATACAAAAAAGATACTCTTTGGTTCTATTCGGTAAAGTCACGTAAAAACAACAAAAAATAAAAAATTCACGACGTTTTGGCCACAACACAAGTGGCCTCCATCAGGTGAAGGGACCAGACTGTTTAGAGGACAGCGCTGGAGTGAACACAGCCAAGCTCAGACCGCGACCTTTAAGCCATGTGAGAGGAAGCAGAGCGCCTTGACAAAGGAATTAGCATAAAATTAGCATTTAATTGGCGGACTTAGCATGATGAACGATGTACAGGGGGGAGCATGTGCAGACTGGCGAGGGGAGGAGGGGGGGGGAGTTTACATATTGATGGTGTGAAAAGGGAATTTAAGCAGCTGCGAAAGTTTGGGATACCACTACTTGAAAAAATATACTGTACCATTGAAAATTAGTTTAATGTTTGGTTTGATTCAGAACATATTTCCAATGGTTGCTTAATTTGAAGCCATCCTCTCGGTTGAAATTGTGTCTGTCTACAGGAAACCCACCCACACAGATTCCTACTTGAAACCTGATTCCCACCACCACCCGACGCAAAATAATTATCTCATCAAAACATTATACCACAGGGCTCATTGCATTTCGGACCAACACCACCTGACCAGTGAATTACATCTGGCCCTAAAAAGGAATGGATACTCTGACCGTACCATCCGCCAAGCTGTTTCTCCCTCCATACAGAAACAACCACTTGATACTCCGATCAAAACCAACACACTACCATATATAGCAGGCGTTACTAAAAAGATCTCCAAAATTCTAAACAAACACAAGATCATGGTCCGGTTCAATACAGTACTTTAAATCCGTGACCTGATCCCTTCCGTGAAGGATGTCATTCCTGACTTACAGTACCCCGGAGTATACAAATTGATCTGCACCTGTGGTGACTGCTATATCGGGGAGACGAAACGACATGTCCCTGACTGAATTCGCGAGCACAAATCAGCTTTGAAACACGGCAGAACGAATTATTCTGCCGTAGCTGATCACTGTTACAACACTGTGGGTGATCACGATATAATTTTCTCCGATACCAAGGTTCTTTGCAAACCCACGGGTTTTTATCAGAAATTTGTTCACGAGAATAAAGTATTAAAGCTTTCGTGACTGCATAAAATTACTCATTGTTTTTTTCGGTAAAGTCACGTATGTAGAAATACAATAAAATTATATTTTAAAAAAACAATCACGACGTTTCGATCACAATGCAAGCGATCTTCATCAGGTGTCAAGAACAAATCACGGAGGTAAATACAACAAAAAGATGAGAGACGAGAATTCAACAAACCTGAAAAAACATTATGTGAAGCACATCCAGTCAGGCCAACAACACAGACACTTCCTGGCGGACCACGAATTTCAGAAGAGTGTTAAATTTCGTGTTCAACCTTTGGATTGCACATACCAGCATAGATAGAATGAAAAATACGAGGTACACGGTCAGTTGGAATACATATACAAGTCAGTAGAAATATAGATAGAATGAAAAATACGAGGTACACGGTCAGTAGAAATACATATACAAGTCAGTAGAAATATATGTATTTCTACTGACGTGACTTTACCGAATAGAACCAAAGAGTATGGATCCTTGCAGTCACGAAAGCTTTAAATCTAGAACAAAAAAGATAGTTCATAATACAAAAAACGATAGTTAATAATACAAAAAAGCGATAGTTAATACCAAAAAAACGATAGTTAATCATATAAAAAAGATAGTTAATAATACAAAAAAACGATAGTTAATAATACAAAAAAACGAGAGTTAATACAAAAAAGATAGTTCATAATACAAAAAACAATGATTAATAATACCACAAAAAACGTTAGTTAATAATACAAAGGGAAATAAAAAGCAAAGGTGCAGCCCTACTATTGCTAGCTCACGCCACAGCTGGCAGACCGCCCCAGAGTATTTGACAAACACTTTCACTTTAACACGTAGGCTTTCGCGATCCGAAAAACCTCTATTATATACACTTTCACGTTGAGCAGACGTGTTAGATAAGGTTGGCGTACACACACTTTACCCCTCCACACGTCACCTGCCGATCGACTAACCCTTTCGCATTCCGATGACGTACGTGTATGTAATCAGTTTTTTTTATGAATCGGTAGAAAAAAACTTTATCAATCACAAGGCCATGCGGGAGGGTGTGGCACAGTTTGGCGCCAGCGATCATAGAGTGCGGTTGTGTCGCTACAGTTATCTATAGTGAGTGCAATGCCTTTACAAACAACGGCGCTACGCCTCTCTAAATAAAATTAACGCTAACCACTTGCGCATTCCAAGATTCGGCGGTGAACGGGACACCCACCCTGCAACTTGCAGATGTCTCGGAACGGAAAAGGGATACTTGCCGTGAACCCATTTATCCTGCTGTGTGGACAAAGGTGACGTCCGGGGGATTTAAGAAACTCGCGCTCTTGGATCCGTCCCCACTGGAAATTTGTGAAAAAGAGCTTCATTGCTAATCGGATTTCTTCAGGATAAATGAAGATTTTTATTCTGGATCAACTGTCGCGCCGAGAGTTAGAATCGAGCCGACATGCCCTGAATTGCAAGTCCACTGTTATAATCGTTAATCTAATATTATTTATATTTTACGAGGTAAGGCCCCTGAGCTATATAGTTTTTTTTTTTCAGAAGCAACCTGGCCACAAATGATAGCTCAACGAAGTGGTTTGCCATGTGGAAATTTAAAGTAGCCAAATATTCTAAACGCCTGATATTTATTTCAAATGTGGAGGGGAAAACCGGAGGACCCGGAGAAAAATCCACGCGATCACAAGGATAATATGCAAACTGCAATAATACAGGCGTGAGGGTCTGGATCGAATCCTCGCCCTCCTGCATACCAGGCGAGGGAGATAACATCTCGCAGCCACCGCGGCGCCCTTCCATGGCTTTGGCAGCTCCCTTCGTCCGTCAGTTAAAAACAACAACAAAATGATGAAACTGTCATGTTTATTGCTCTCGATAAGTTTATATGTGCGGCAAACATGGGTTTTAACGGTTTCTTGATTCGGTTAACGGTAATGGGAACTTGCTCAGTAAGTGCTGACTCAGTCCCCAGTTATTATTCCTCTGTTCAATGCCTCGTGCTTGATAATTGTGGCTGCTCTTAAGTGCTTTTCGCGCATTAAACTATTTGTGGAAACTCTTCTTGCAAAACGGCCTGAGTGAATTATTTATCTGGGTGCCTGACTGCTACCCCAGCCCATAGTGCACTCTCCACTGATACACTTTTCATTTAGTGTTGTGCATTAACATATAGCTTTTTTTGTCCAACCAGTACCCACGTATTCCTGAAATTTCCCTTGATCGCGTAAATTTACGCGCTCTAACCCAAAAAAACCCTCTATTATGGATGCCATTGGTCGCGAAAGCCTCCGTGTTAAACTGGTTCTCTTTTATCAACCCCCGGAGGGAGGAATGATGGTCATTAAGACGAGATTTCAGTGTATATGTGTACACGTGTTTCACATGACACAGACAGCGTTAATTGCTTAGCGCGTCTCGTGGGACGTGTTTAACAATCATCGGGCGCGTGCAGCGTGAAATGATTTGATTGCAATCTTGATTTTAAGCTTTCGTGATTGCAGGAATCCATACTCTCTGGTTCTTTGATTGCATTTGAATGGGGAGGAGTAAAATTGGTAGTCCCGGAAAGACGTATCGTGCGTGGGGAGTCTAGTTGGTTCGATGTCTCGACAGCTGCTTAGCGTACAGTGCGAAAGAAGTTCAACATAGTACACACATAGCGTCCAGCTACGAGTCTGACAGCGAGTCTCAATCAAATAGCTGGTCTGCTTCGCCTTACATTCCTTACACAATGGACTTTGCACATGTTCCTGAATTGTCATGCACAGCTACCTGGATAATAATGGGAATAATAATACGCAGCTCCCCGAGTAGTTTTTTTTTTTCCGTGAGCCACGTGGAATATCCCTCGTGAGTAAACAATGCACATAACGGGCGCTGCCTCGGCTCGCTCGAGATTTCTCTACAGCATCGGGGTTCACAGCTTAGAATCGTCATGGAGGAATCCGAGGAGATATATAAAGCTCTTGTTCACAGATGTTCAGACTCGTCAGCAGAGTCGGTCCAGAGAAATAACTGTGAAGAACCTCGTTTCAATACAACAAACACGTGAACAAAAGCAGATATTAGAAGAGCCCATCCGACTCTCATAGGCCAGTGTTACCGCGGTCGACTCATCCGTCCTGTCACCCGTGCTGGCGTCTGTGAAAAATGCATGCGGGGTGGGGTGAATGGGGATGGTGGGGAGGAGGAGGGGTTATGAGGTAGTGTGGAGGATGATAATGGTGGAGGAGCGGTGATGGGGATGGTAGAGGTTGGGTGCTGATGTTGAGCGAGCAGGAGGCAAGTCCACGTGGAGGAGTGAGGTGCTGTGTTGAGAGGAGTGGAAGGGATAAGAGGGGTGGAGGGATGAGAGAGGAGACGCTCATTCTGAGAAGGCTTCTCCGGTGAGATAGCCATGGGCTGCCTGCACGCTTTGACGCTCTTGCTGTCACTTTGCTCAGCTACAGGTAAGACAGAGACATACAAACTCTATACACCATACACACCATACAAACCCTACACACTCTAAACACCATACAAACCCGACACACTCTAAACACCATACACATTCTAAACACTCTAAACACCATACACACTATACACACCATACAAACTCTACACACCATACACACTCTAAACACCATACAAACCCTACACACTCTAAACACCACACACACAATACGCACTCTACACACTCTAAACACCACACACACCATACACACTCTACACACCATACACACTCTAAACACCATACACACTCTAAACACCATACACACTCTAAACACCATACACACCATAACACCATACACGCTCAACACCCATACACACTCAACACACTATACACACTCAACACACCATACACACTCTAAACACCATATACACTCTAAACACCATACACACTCTAAACACCATACGCACTCTAAACACAACACACACCATACACACTCTAAACACCTAACACACTCTAAACACCACACACTCTAAACACCATACACACTCTAAACACCATACACACTCTAAACACCATACACACTCTAAACACCATACACACTCTAAACACCATACACACTCTAAACACCATACACACTCTAAACACCATACACACTCTAAACACCATACACACTCTAAACACCATACACACTCAACACACCATACACGCTCAACACACCTTACACACTCAACACACCATACACACTCTAAACACCATACACACTCTAAACACCATACACACGCTAAACACCATACACACTCTAAACACCATACACACTCTAAACACCACACACACTCTAAACACCATACACACTCTAAACACCATACACACTCTAAATACCATACACACTCTAAACACCACACACACTCTAAACACCATACATACTCTAAATACCATACACACTCTAAACACCATACACACTCTAAACACCACACACACTCAACACACCATACACACTCAACACACCATACACGCTCAACACACCATACACACTCTAAACACCATACACACTCTAAATACCATAGACACTCTAAACACCATACACACCATACACACCCTACACACTCTAAACACCATACACACTCTAAACACCACACACACTCTAAACACCACACACACTCTAAACACCATACACACTCTAAACACCACACAGACTCTAAACACCATACACACTCTAAACACCATACACACTCTAAACACCACACACACTCTAAACACCACACACACTCTAAACACCACACACACTCTAAACACCATACACACTCTAAACACCATACACACCATACACACTCTAAACACCATACACACTCTAAACACCATACACACTCTAAACACCATACACACTCTAAATACCATAGACACTCTAAACACCATACACACCATACACACCCTACACACTCTAAACACCATACACACTCTAAACACCACACACACTCTAAACACCACACACACTCTAAACACCATACACACTCTAAACACCACACAGACTCTAAACACCATACACACTCTAAACACCATACACACTCTAAACACCACACACACTCTAAACACCACACACACTCTAAACACCACACACACTCTAAACACCATACACACTCTAAACACCATACACACCATACACACTCTAAACACCATACACACTCTAAACACCACACACACTCTAAACACCATACATACTCTAAATACCATACACACTCTAAACACCATACACACTCTAAACACCACACACACTCAACACACCATACACACTCAACACACCATACACGCTCAACACACCATACACACTCTAAACACCATACACACTCTAAATACCATAGACACTCTAAACACCATACACACCATACACACCCTACACACTCTAAACACCATACACACTCTAAACACCACACACACTCTAAACACCACACACACTCTAAACACCATACACACTCTAAACACCACACACACTCTAAACACCATACACACTCTAAACACCATACACACTCTAAACACCACACACACTCTAAACACCACACACACTCTAAACACCACACACACTCTAAACACCATACACACTCTAAACACCATACACACCATACACACTCTAAACACCATACACACTCTAAACACCATACACACTCTAAACACCATACACACTCTAAATACCATAGACACTCTAAACACCATACACACCATACACACCCTACACACTCTAAACACCATACACACTCTAAACACCACACACACTCTAAACACCACACACACTCTAAACACCATACACACTCTAAACACCACACAGACTCTAAACACCATACACACTCTAAACACCATACACACTCTAAACACCACACACACTCTAAACACCACACACACTCTAAACACCACACACACTCTAAACACCATACACACTCTAAACACCATACACACCATACACACTCTAAACACCATACACACTCTAAACACCATACACACTCTAAACACCACACACACTCTAAACACCACACACACTCTAAACACCATACACACTCTAAACACCATACACACTCTAAACACCATACACACTCTAAACACCATACACACTCTAAACACCATACACACTCTAAACACCATACACACTCTAAACACCATAGACATTCTAAACACCATAGACACTCTAAACACCATACACACTCTACACACTCTAAACACCACACACTCTAAACACCACACACACTCTAAACACCACACACACTCTAAACACCACACACACTCTAAACACCATACACACTCTAAACACCATACACACTCTAAACACCATACACACTCTAAACACCATACACACTCTAAACACCACACACACTCTAAACACCACACACACTCTACACACCACACACACTCTAAACACCATACACACCATACACACCATACACACTCTAAACAACATACACACTAAACACCATACACACTCTAAACACCACACACACTCTAAACACCATACACGCTCAACACACCATGCACACTCTAAACACCATACACACTCTAAACACCATAGACACTCTAAACACCATACACACCATACACACCCTACACACTCTAAACACCATACACACTCTAAACACCACACACACTCTAAACACCACACACACTCTAAACACCATACACACTCTAAACACCATACACACTCTAAACACCACACACACTCTAAACACCATACACACTCTAAACACCATACACACTCTAAACACCACACACACTCTAAACACCACACACACTCTAAACACCACACACACTCTAAACACCACACACTCTAAACACCATACACATTCTAAACACCATACACACAATACGCACTCTACACACTCTAAACACCACACACACCATACACACTCTACACACCATACACACTCAACACACCATGCACACTCTAAACACCATACACACTCTAAACACCATAGACACTCTAAACACCATACACACCATACACACCCTACACACTCTAAACACCATACACACTCTAAACACCACACACACTCTAAACACCACACACACTCTAAACACCATACACACTCTAAACACCATACACACTCTAAACACCACACACACTCTAAACACCATACACACTCTAAACACCATACACACTCTAAACACCACACACACTCTAAACACCACACACACTCTAAACACCACACACACTCTAAACACCACACACTCTAAACACCATACACATTCTAAACACCATACACACAATACGCACTCTACACACTCTAAACACCACACACACCATACACACTCTACACACCATACACACTCTAAACACCATACACACTCTAAACACCATACACACTCTAAACACCATACACACCATAACACCATACACGCTCAACACCCATACACACTCAACACACCATACACACTCAACACACCATACACACTCTAAACACCATATACACTCTAAACACCATACACACTCTAAACACCATACGCACTCTAAACACCACACACACCATACACACTCTAAACACCTAACACACTCTAAACACCACACACTCTAAACACCATACACACTCTAAACACCATACACACTCTAAACACCATACACACTCTAAACACCATACACACTCTAAACACCATACACACTCTAAACACCATACACACTCTAAACACCATACACACTCAACACACCATACACACTCAACACACCATACACACTCAACACACAATACACACTCTAAACACCATACACACTCTAAACACCATACACACTCAACACACCATACACGCTCAACACACCATACACACTCAACACACCATACACACTCTAAACACCATACACACTCTAAACACCATACACACGCTAAACACCATACACACTCTAAACACCATACACACTCTAAACACCACACACACTCTAAACACCATACACACTCTAAACACCATACACACTCTAAATACCATACACACTCTAAACACCACACACACTCTAAACACCATACATACTCTAAATACCATACACACTCTAAACACCATACACACTCTAAACACCATACACACTCAACACACCATACACACTCAACACACCATACACGCTCAACACACCATACACACTCTAAACACCATACACACTCTAAATACCATAGACACTCTAAACACTATACACACCATACACACCCTACACACTCTAAACACCATACACACTCTAAACACCACACACACTCTAAACACCACACACACTCTAAACACCATACACACTCTAAACACCATACACACTCTAAACACCACACAGACTCTAAACACCATACACACTCTAAACACCATACACACTCTAAACACCACACACACTCTAAACACCACACACACTCTAAACACCACACACACTCTAAACACCATACACACTCTAAACACCATACACACCATACACACCATACACACTCTAAACACCATACACACTCTAAACACCATACACACTCTAAACACCACACACACTCTAAACACCACACACACTCTAAACACCATACACAC